GCCACACAATGTTGAGTAAGTACTGGTACTTCAGAAAGGAATGCTATCCATTAGCCGTGTGTGCATGTGTATGTGTATGTGTGCCCATGTCTCTCTCTCTCTCTCTCTCTCTCTCTCTCTCTCTCTCTCTCTCTCTCTCTCTCTCTCTCTCTCTCTCTCTCTCTCTCTCTCTCTCTCTCTCTCTCTCTCTCTCTCTCTCTCTCTCTCTCTCTCTCTCTCTCTCTCTCTCTCTCTCTCTCTCGCTCTCTCTCTCTCTCTCTCTCTCTCTCTCTCTCTCTCTCTCTCTCTCTCTCTCTCTCTCTCTCTCTCTCTCTCTCTCTCTCTCTCTCGCTCTCTCTCTCTCTCTCGCTCTCTCTCTCTCTCTTCTCTCTCTCTCTCTCTCTCGCTCTCTCTCGCTCTCTCTCTCTCTCTCTCTCTCTCTCTCTCTCTCTTCTCGCTCTCTCTCTCTCTCTCTCTCTCTCTCTCTCTCTCTCTCCTCTCTCTCTCTCTCTCTCTCTCTCTCTTTCTCTCTCTCTCTCTCTCTCTCTCTTTCTCTCTCTCTCTCTCTCTCTCTCTCTCTCTCTCTCTCTCTCTCTCTCTCTCTCTCTCTCTCTCTCTCTCTCTCTCTCTCTCCCTCTCTCTCTCCCTCCCTCTCGCTTCAGCATGGACGATGTCTGTGTGCCTGGGTAGGAAACGATTATTGTCCGGTCCGTGCCAAGAATTCCCGACAAATTACTATCCACTTATCACTGCTACGGGCGGCCCAACACTCTTTTTGAGATTTTTGAAACCTTCAACACGGCGGCGTTAACCCTGGGCGATTTGTGGAGCTTATTCTAGCATAGACTGTACCTGTGAGAGGGAAATGAAGAGATGTATGCTCTTCGTCTGATTTGTGTGTGTTCACTGCTGCCGCTGCTGTTGTCCGCACTCTGTTACAGTGTAGCACATATGGTAGAGGACGTGTACGTGCTGATGGCTCTGTTCCCGCCACTGTTGGTCTGCTGGATGGACAAGTTGTTGTTGGTTAGTTGTTGCTTGGTTTGGTTGCGTGATGATCCTGACAGAATCTGTATATTGCTTCGATTCAGCAAAGGCTTGATTGTCCGCATGATGACGTGCCAGCAAAGTCCAGATTCGTATAGATACTGCAACGTACAGTGTGGTGTTTGCAGAGGTGGTTGCTCTGTTCGGTAGACTGAACATAGTTCTAGTGTACTGTGTACATGGTTTTGGTTTGTCTGTGTGGTGGTGGTGCAGCCACTGCAGTCACTATGAACTAGCTGTGTACAATACCTAGTGCTCTGTGGGGTCTGTGTGCCAACAACACCCCCCCGCTCCGCTGTCTGTAGGCCTAATGCCACTGCCCCTCCTGCATTTCTATTACCCCCCCCCCCCTTCTCCCCTGTTTCACTACCGGTATGCATGTCTCCAGTTCATTGGCCGGGAATGCCATAAGATGTGGTGCATCGTTATGTTTTCTTCTCCAGGTCTCACTGCCCAGGAGCTGAAGCTGCTTGCCGGTGCGTCTCGCGAAGGTTCTGCACGCAAGGTGTCGCGCCGTGACCTGGCTTTTGCGCTTGCAGAGGTAAAATTATCCCCGTGGACACCTTGCTATGCATCCATATCTCACCAGTCACTTACGCTGAAAACCGTACACCGTCAACAAAGCAAGTGGTCTCTTTGCCGCAAATTTCTATTCTCTCGTTCAAATTTCCGGCCAGGAGCCATCATCATCAGGATTGAGGAGAAACACTGAGAAAATAGAAGTTCGGAGCAAAGACACCTTGTTGCTTCGGTAATGATGTTGGGTTTTCCGTGTTTTGAAGTGACTGCAGTGGAGCTTGCGCACCTTTTAGTCTTGTAACAGGGTAAGTGATTAAAAAAAGTGACTAAAAAAACTTTTAAAAGTGACTAAAAACGTCACTTACCATGTTACAGGAGTAAAAGCTGCACCTCCGGTCCATCATAACAAATCCCAGTTTAGGTACTCGCGCTCCGCTCTACCAACTTTGTGTCTGCCTGAACTGTGAGAGGGATCAAGTGCTGCTTTGCTGATGGTGGTGGTGGTTCTTGCCTTCAGGCCGCTGTGCCAGTTTGCCAGGGTAGTGAAATGGATCCATGCATGCTATCTGGTGCTCCTGCTTTTCTGGGGAGCCTGCGCGTGGTATTCGCCGTTGGAGCTCGGCTAATAGACAGTTGTGTGTGTTTCCATTGTGTGCTGGTGTTGTATTTGTGCAGAAAGTGGTTGGTGGCACGACGGTATCAGCCACCATGATGGCTGCGCACTGGGCCGGCATTCACGTGTTTGTCACCGGCGGTATTGGCGGCGTGCATCGTGACGGCGAGAACAGTAAGGACGACTTGATGCCTTGATAATGTGCGTGTCTGTGTGTCTGTGTGTGTGTGTGTCTGTCTGTGTGTGTCTGTCTATCTGTCTGTGTGTGTCTGTCTATCTGTCTGTCTGTCTGTCTGTGTGTCTGTCTGTCAGTCTGTGTGGGAGGCAGACACCTTTGATTTTTTCTGAAGAAGACCGGTATGGTCGAAACGTCAACTCATTCGGGATCACTTCCGTCCGTCTGTGCAATGGTCCAGTCACTTTTATCCTGTCTGTGTACATGTGTGTGTGTGTGTGTGTTTGTCTGTCTGTCCGTACGTCAGGCCTTGATGTAAGTGCTGACCTAACAGAGTTAGGCAGGACACCTGTGGCTGTGGTGTGCGCTGGATGCAAGTCTATACTGGACATAGGACGAACTCTGGAGTATCTGGTATGTTCATGTATACAATGGAGTCTCTCTCTCTCTCTCTCTCTCTCTCTCTCTCTCTCTCTCTCTCTCTCTCTCTCTCTCTCTCTCTCTCTCTCTCTCTCTCTCTCCCCCTCTCTCTCTCTCAATGATTTTTCCATTCTCTGTTCTCATTGGTGGCCTTTCCTCCTTGTCTTTACTCACCATTGCTGAACCGCCACTGTCGTCCTGTGTGTGAACAGGAAACCCAGGGAGTACCAACTATCACACTAGGACAACAGAAGAACTTCCCGGCATTTTTCGCACCCGACAGTGGATTCGCGGTAATCACTGATGCTGTAATAGCGCTGCATTGTGCAATATGTTCACTCTGCGCATGCTAGCAGAGCTAGCTAGCTCATTGATTGACCAGTTTTACTGTTTGATCTGTTCTTGTGCCTGCCAATTATAGGTTTCAGTTTTGGTTTTAAATGCCTGTCGAAGGAAAGCTAACTCTGACTAGGTCTTCTGCAAGCAAGGATGCTGGTGCTGTTCGAATCACCTCCGGTGTGACTGGCAACCCATGTGATAGCATGGATTGTCTTTGTTGAACTGTTGCTCACTACAATGATCCCAGAATAGCTATTTACTACTCCGACGCTGTCGATTCTTTGTCTTCTCGTTCTCATAGTGCACTTACTGTGGTGAGCCCATGCATAGGGTCAAGGCAGAAAATCATCCTTTTTTCTAGAGTGATCGGGTCCTTGTGCATTGACCAGCTCAGTACGTGCATGCGTGCGTGCTTGTGCGCGCACACACGCGCGTGTGTTTGTGCATATGTGCGTGTGACTAACTCTCTCTCTCTCTCTCTCTCTCTCTCTCTCTCTCTCTCTCTCTCTCTCTCTCTCTCTCTCTCTCTCTCTCTCTCCCTCTCTCTCTCTTCTATTCCAAGGCAAGTCACACAGTGTCCTCAGCGGAAGCCTGTGCCCAAATCATCGGTAAGAGACTCCAAATTGGGTTTTTTGTGACACTAACATCCACCCCCTTCAGCAGGCAACGTGGTTCTGTATCCGTGTGTGTGTGTGTACATGTGTGAGGAGGGGGGAGGGGGCTGCGTGCGTGTACGTGTGCATGTGCGTGAGTTTATGTGCATGTGTGTGTGCGTCATGTGTGTGCGTTCCATGTGCGTGTGTTCCATGTGCACTTGTGCATGTGCACCGTCCTCTTTGCTATACTTTTTTTACTATTCCCCCACTTCTTTTTTCCTGGTTTGTGTCGTTTACTGTGCTCCTTGCAGACTCTAGTCTGTCCCTTGGCTTGGAGAGCGGCATAGTCATAGGTGTTCCCATACCCAGTGAGGATGGCAAGGCAGTGGACAGTGCTATACAGCAAGCACTACAAGAGGCAAAGTGAGCACCTGGTTTTACTCTGAATACCAACCCCTGCCTTGTTGTTGTCTTCGTTTAAGCGTTGCTATGGTCTGGCTTGAGTCTGTTGTCATATGTAGACCTTGCTAGCATCTTGGCTAGCCTTTGGACGTGTCTTTCGTCCTTCCGTTATCCTTTGTCTTTGTGTGTGTGTGCGTGCGTGCGTGCGTGCGTGCGTGTGCGTGTGTGTGTGTGTGTGTGTGTGTGTGTGTGTGTCTCTCTCTCTCTCTCTCTCTCTCTCTGTCTCTCTCTCTCTCTCTCTCTCTCTCTCTCTCTCCCTCTCTCCCCCTCTTTCTTCTTGTCTGGGTCAGGGACTCTAACGTTGCTGGTCGTGATGTCACACCGTTTGTGCTGCGGCGTGTCAATGAACTGTCGACGGGGAAGTCCCTTGCTGCCAGTATCCTCCGATGACGTCATTGCTTGAACGTGCTTTTGTAAATGGGAATTGTTTCAGCTTGGGTGCTTTGGGCTACTTACAGTCTTGGGTGGAGAGTCAAAATGTATAAAAAGTCCTACAACGTATTGTAAATCGGGAACATTTTGCGCCGATTGTAGTTTGTGTTGCGAGCACAGACCAATCTGCTCCTGGAAAGTGCTTTATTCATAGCGTTGTTAATGAAAGCAGTAGTAGACATTTCGTAATGTTGCTTGTAAAGAGCCTGAACCTTGTTCTATTTCTTGTTTTAATGGACCTTATGCCATTTGTACAGATCCACGAAATCCCGTAGAATCCTGTAGACCCGGTAGGGTGCTCATTGTGTGCTATGCATGCGCATTTGACTTTTTTAGCGTCTTAATTCAATGGCCAGCAATCGCTTTCCAGCTTCTTCACTTTGGTTAGAACTAATGACTAGCTAGATCTTTGTCAGAAAAAGGTTTTCGTATGAAATGCCTTCAGGCCCCATTTCTTAGTGGAAATAGCAGAAAACACAATAGGGTCCTGCGCATTCAACACCCTACCGGGTCTACGGGATTCTACGGGATTTCGTGGATCTGTACAAATGGCATAAGGTCCATTGTACTGTTACTTGTTTCTCCTGGCAACCTGCATAGTAGTTAGCTGTATTCGCAGTTGTCATGGGTGTACCCTTCCTTAACTTGCCCTACACCGCGTCGTCTAGACATTGAATTGATCAAGAACAACGCCAGCACGGGCAGCCTGATTGCCGTGGAGCTCAGTAGACTGCGGGCCACTGGTAGCACCTGTGGCGGTGGCAGCACAGCTCCCAGCGGTGGTGCTGCTTCCCGAAGACATCCAGTTGCAGGGACAGCAAAATCGTACACCTTCCCAGCACCGTCTTCAGCATCGCCAGCCGGCTCTGCGGAGCACATGACGTTTGGTTCTCAAGCACCGAGTGTCCCTGGTCTCTTCAGCCAACGTGGCATTGATGGCGAAGCAGTGTCGTTTGGCAACGCTCCGCTGCCGGCCGAGTTTACATCTAACTATGCCGGTGGCACGGCTTCGTCTATCGATCAAGAGATCACGGCGGAGTTTGAGGAACTTGTGCCGGTGAGTTCAGGCTCTGGGTGTGTGTTGTTACGGTTATGTGCACGTGGGTGCTGGTGCGTGTGGGTGGGTGGGTGGGTGGGAGGTTGGGTGTGTATGTGTGTAGCTCACAAAAAAGGAGACATTTTGTCAGACGGGTGGCACTATGATGGTATGCTCCTTTGAGCCGGTGAAAATGGAAATCGCATCCTCTTTGAACCATTCCAAAGCGTCTTACGAGCGAGAATTCACGGTGGTAGCTGGCATCACTGGTGTTTCTAATATTTATTTCTTCCCTTTCTTGTGTGTGATTGGGTAGCGACACTATCGTCAAGCTCCTCACAACACGGGGACTTCTCTCCCACCTAATCAGCCAGCAAGACACTATCATACGTCAGCAACTCTCCGACACCCTGCGGCCAACGCCTCTACTGACGCGGATGCTGATCAGCAATTACTGGTAAGCCCACTCCATCCCTTCTTTTACTATCCAAGATGGGAATCTCGTCACTGAGTTCGACTTTCGCTGGAGTGCGCACTCAGACGCTGAATTTTCCTGGCTAAACCTCGGTATCATTATTTTTTATATTGTTCACGTGCATCCTCTCCACTGTTCATCATTTTCCATTGGCGTTTAATCTTGAAACTTAATCATATACCTAATGATAATACCCGTCGGTGGTTCTAACTAGGTATTAGAATCCAGGGAGTTTTACATTGAATTTTCCGAGAACTATACCGTGGGTGCATACTGCATACTATAGTAAGAGACCTTTTGACACTTTTAAAATTGATTAGTACCCATTCGGTGCACCTAGATTGGCACTAGAATTCAGGGAACAGATTTGAGTTAACATTGCACTTTCAAAGAACTATGCCGTAGGGGCATGCTGACAAGACTACAGTAAAATCTGTGACCAACGACCACCCCTTGGGGCCGGAGAAAGCGGTCTTTAGTGGCAGGTGGTCCTTAGTTAAGAGGTTTGCACCACACAACCATTATGAATGTGAGACCGTCCGTGCCTGGCGAAGTGGTCTGTAGTAGCAGGCTGGTCGCTAGTCACAGTGGTCGCTAGTCACAGGTTTTACTGTACATGATGAAAAATGGCCGTATTGTGTGTTGATGTACAGGATGACAAACACTTCAGCGAGCGATGTGACGACTACCGTCTTTCCTTCTCAGTCCCGTGTCCGGTAAGTGCTCACATGCACACGTGGAAGTTATTCTCTTCTGTCTCTGACCGTCCGACCAATGGTGCTGTTGAGGGATGGGCGGGGTGGGGATGCGGGCAGGCCGGGGGGGGGGGGGGGGGGAGAATGGGGCCGGGGCAGGAGGGGGGGGGGTACAGTTCTGGTAGCAATGGCCCAAGACCGGCATTCTTCCGGGAGCACCCTGATAAGAGCAACGGGACTGGGGGTAAAGGATGGTCACATTTCGGCGTCTTCTTGTGTGAACGTTAGTGCTTCATGATGGAAGGACTGCAACGACGCATCACATCAGGGTCACCAATGTAGGGGTTTTACATTGGCCCCAGGACAATGACTGCAATGACCAGCCGGACAACACAGAAGTTTAGGCCAAAGAGAAAGAATTTATTTTTCTGTGGACTTGGAAGTTTTGAAGAATTCTAACGTTTTCTTCAATCCCAGCTTTTCCATTTGAGTACACTTGCCGTCTGCCCTGGCAACATGGACTACTTCAAAGTGAAGTATTTGGCTCGTGACTTGGCACAACGCAGTATAGGTGCAATATTTAGCACTGAACCCGGGGGAATCACATCTGCCATCGCCCGATATATGTAGATGCTGTCCCTCTCGTTCAGTCATTGCCTCATGTTGGTGCTTCTGCCATTTCGTGTTTATTACAGGCCAAACGAATTTCCTTTGGATCCTGTAAAAGGTTGATGCAGACAGAAATGAACTGCAGGTTGAGGAATTTAGCCAAAAAACAAACAATTAAAACGTTCAAATGTCGCCCCACACTGAAGAATGGCAGTCGCAATGAGAAGATTTCCCAATGGCATCTTTAATACTGGTCCTTGTTTGGGATTCCCAGGTAGAGGTGTGACCATTGCAACACGTGAGGGTGACTGTGAGCATTGGACCACATGTGGTTTTGGTGCGTCTGGAGATACAGCCAGCACATTCCGGGCATCGATCGTCCCGTAATAGTTCATCCAGCCTGGATTCGCACACAATGAACCTTTCTTGTGAACCTGCTTCCATTTCAGGCAGAAGCTCGGATTCACTATCACCATCCAACACACTTGGCTCCCAAATAGAACTATTCAACGATATCTCCTCACAATCCTCGTCACGCATAGGAGATGATGTGACCTGCAGTTCAAAGTTTGATAGCTGTACGAACAACAAAGTAAACAGAGCTATTTCCATCTACTCTTGTAAGATGAAGTGTTGAGTAACGAAAAAGGGATCTTGCTCCCAGACACAACGGGCACGGGTAGGTGGAACGACATTTATTATGGGAGACGAAGAGACGGAGACAAAGATGAACGAAACGACTACATTATGGAAGAGAGAGAGAGAGAGAGAGAGAGAGAGAGAGAGAGAGAGAGAGAGAGAGAGAGAGAGAGAGAGAGAGAGAGAGAGAGAGAGAGAGAGAGAGAGAGAGAGAGAGAGAGAGAGAGAGAGAGAGAGAGAGAGAGAGAGAGTGAGAGAGACAGAGACAGAGAGACTGTGTTGCCACACCTGCCGACATGTCAGTAGCCTGCTGATTTTGGAGGCATATCACGACCCGCCGACAACTGATCTCTTCCTGCCGACAACAGACATGAAAATGTCCCATTTTGACGTAATCGTAATTGTAAAACATCGAACCAGAGTTGGCCGGCTTCTGCATATTCACGTGTTTCCCATCAATCGCTCCCAGGCAATGGGGCAGGTTCCACCGATCCCGGAAACCAACGCTTATATCACTCCACTGCTCTGCTGATGATGGGGCAGAATCGTACTCTTTAGACAGAGCTAACCAAATAGCAGCAGACACTTCTTTCACTCTTCCATGGATGGTGGAAGTGCCATGTCGGAAAGTGAACGATAGCGCCACAAGAGAAGAACCAGTAGCTTAATAGCGCAACGTTATGACCAGCCTCTCCTTCGTGGTGATGTGGTGGTGCAGGGTACCACCGGGTCGCTTCCGTTCCCTGATAAACGGCGAGACCTTTCCCAATAGAACATTGAAGGATGCGGAGGACATTCTTGTGTATCGACGGAACTTCCTCTCGTATCCTTTGATCTTTTTGAGCAGGGTTGAATACTCGCCAACATCTTCACCACCCGATTGCTGGAAAATTGGATGAACCCAGACTGACCGGTATGAAAGCAGCTAAGCTGCTCATGCCCTCTCCGTCTCCACAGAAATACCCGAATAACGATCAGGAACGACAACATATCATCTGCCTCCATGGTGAAACGAAATGAGAAAGTGAAATGAAGGCGATATCACGCATATGCTGTGCCCAAGAAGCGAGCTTCCAAGAGGCCAGGCCACTGGTCAGTACGCACATACGCTAGTCAATACGCGCTGAAAAATCCGACAGATTGGATCCCTCGGCAGGGGCGTCGGAAGGTATTTTAGTGTGGTACGGTCAGTCATCTGAAGTACAGTTTACTTGTGGGGGAGGGATGGCGGAGGCGAAAATCTTGGGAATTTAGAGTCCAGATCAGTGTATTTTATTGATTCACGGGGTAACTGGGGCAGAAAGTGGTGCGGTCAATACCGTAGTGACCGTACCGTGTCCGACGCCCCTGCTCGGGTACGCTTGCTTTTGTACGCTGTACGCCCAAAAAGCCAGCAAAAATGTGCACGAACGCGTGGTTTCACGCGTGCACACACTGGTTGTGAACACAGCTTTAGGTGGTAAGCGAAATCATTGTTCTGTCCCGGGGAAAATCTGAAAACTCAACCTGAGTTTCACGTAAAGCCGTGATTTTTAACAACCTTCGATACAGCACGTGCGAGGCATGTTGTCACAGACTCACAGCAAACAAACCCCTTCCACACTTTCCAACTCACTACAAGAAAAGAAGAAGAAAAAAAATAGAGCCTTGCGGAGTAAGCACTATACGAGAGAGCTTGGAAGCTCAGGGCCCTACGCTATGCTTTTTTTGCCTAGCTCATCGTGCATGTTATTAGAACTGATGGAATTTTTTTTCATTGATTGACCATAGTGTTTTACGTCGACCATGACGGCTACAATGCCCAACCATACCACAACGAACTGATCGGCTACATCATTGTATTGCAAAAAGTTTCCATCTGTTCGATTAACATGCATGATGAGCTAGGCAAAAAAGCATAGCGTAGGGCCCTGAGCGAAAGAAATAAACTTTCTTTTTGTCATTCGAGGGTAATACAACACCGTCTGCCACCTTGATTACCCAGGCAAAAAAAGCATAGGGATGTTATAAATTTTTCATTTCTCCTATTTTTTTCAAGACATACTGTAAGACATGTTATTATAACGAGTCGCAAATTTAACAATTGTCCAAAATTCATAGGTTAACGAGAAGATATGTTAACGATCTTGCAGTATTCTGCCATATCCACACACAGCATATATGAAGCAGTACGGCCTCAACGGATCTTATTATAACGGAGAAATGTCATCCGTTAAAACGTTAGATTTGCTTCCTCGTTATATATACATGTCTTACAGTAACCTAGGATTCGAACCCGCACTATCGCCCTGCATGCATTCCCCCAATACACTTCGCATACATACTCATTCTTCCAAGTTGCTTCACGTTATGATCTTGCATTTGAAAGCCCTAGTTGAATATTGTGGCCAGCTGTCTTTGATGGTACGGTACGGGACAGGTACGGGATAGCGCCAGGTATGCCGACGGCACAAACACGCACGGAATTAACGCTGTGTGGACCCTGGCTAGTGCCAGACGTTACTGAAGTAACTTCTTTTGCATAGCTACGGGAATAAAAAAATAAAAAAACTGTGGCTTCCTCCTTGTACGATGTACGCATCAGCACAGGTTACAGGAAGTGACCAAGGCTATCCTGCAAATACCACAGTGTTAGTATAGTAGTAGTATGGTACTAGTATAGTAGTCTCAAAAAGATACGAGATACAGGTAGTACTATGCATGTTTACATTGTTTATCACAGCAAACGGAAAAACTTCTTCCTCTCCTTCCAAAGCGAAGAGCCTCAACTAACACAGTGCCGGATACGTGCTCGTGTAGCACAGGTCCGTAATTCTTTTTGCCGTTTTGCAGTTGTGTATTATTATATTATTATTAAAAGCATGTCCGCGTAGGTGGCGGGGGTGCCACTTTCGCTTATGCCATTCAGGATTGATGTCTGAAGAGTAATACGATACAATGAAATGACAGAAGTGACGTCAACAAAAGCCGTTGTGTAGTAACATTACATTTTTGGTGATTGTCAAGAGGGCTTACGTGTGTTGCTAACCAACCCTGAAGTACCTTCTTTTTGAATTAGCCCATTGTGCATTGCCTAATACGGAAGGTATGAGTAATGCATGTGAGTACACTGGGATCAGCAATGCACTGTTCAACACCCCACACAGCCATGTCCAGGTGGCTGTGTGGGGTGTTATGTGAGTACACTGGGATCAGCAATGCACTGTTCAACACCCCACACACAGCCATGCCCAGGTGGCTGCTGTGTGGGGTATTGACGATACAAATTAAGTCATTGCGCAATGGGCTTATCTATCCCCTCGCCCTGTTACAGGAAAGTGCTGGTATTTAAATGTTTGAATATGGAATCATTCGAATGGCAAGTGTTTCTCTAGACAGGCATGTGTCGAAATGTTTATGTTGTTGGTGGATAGATGATAAGAACATCATGATAGTTACAAGTAGTCTTGTTCTGGATTTTGGTGTTTAAGTTAAAGGGGAAGTTAAGGCTAAAGTGTATGTTCTTTGATGAAAACGGATGTATGTGTTGTTTTACTGGAGATTCGTTAATATGGATTCTCTCTCTCTCTCTCTCTCTCTCTCTCTCTCTCTCTCTCTCTCTCTCTCTCTCTCTCTCTCTCTCTCTCTCTCTCTCTCTCTCTCTCTCTCTCTCTCTCTGTCTCTCTCTCTCTCTCTCTCTCTCTCTCTCGACTAGGTTGTTGTTGGTGCTGCTGTCGTTGATGTAGTGGCACGACCCACTGACTCTGACATCAAACTGGTAAGTACTGCAGTATGTGTAGGGGGGGGGGCTCACAGTGGATACTTTTTCATGGTTAGACATAACAAGCCCGCCCGTACATGATTTCTGTATGGGACCAATTTTGGCAGTAAGCAAGTACAGTATAGTACAGTGTGTGTGTGTGTGTGTGTGTGTGTGTGTGTGTGTGTGTGTGTGTGTGTGTGTGTTCACGTGTTCACGTGTTCACGTGTGTGTGGTGTGTGTTCATGTGTGTGTGGTGTGTGTTCATGTGTGTATTCACGTGGGTGGGTGTGTGTTCACATGTATAATTCTGTGCAGCGCTTGACGAACAACTGTCAGGTCTCCACCTGCTTTGGTGGAGTTGGTCGCAATGTGTATGGTGAGTTATTAGTCTTTGTGTGTGTGTGTGTGTGTGTGTGTGCGTGCGTGCGGGCGGGCGTGGGCGTGCGTGCGTGTAAATTGACGAGTCTGTATGTAGGGGCATCATAGCAAGCATGGGCTCAACGCTATCGAGGCCGACCAAAGTGCACGTCAGGCGGTGGTCGCCACGTAATGAGAGACGACACGAGACGAAAGTACCTGAGTAAAAGTAAAGTAAAGTTTGCACGTCCGCGTTACCACCGGCTATACAATTGCGTTGAGAAACACAACCAGCTTAGGAAGTTTCGCATGTGCCAGGCCACCACCATGCCTGTGATACCAGGGTGGCAGATGCAGCGCCTAACGGCGAGGGTGAGATGGTAAGTCTCACAACCAATGCCCGACAAGGGGGCTAACCTCGTTAGCTGCATCCATGTTACCCTCACTCCGAGTAGTGAGTACCCAGTTGACCGTGGGTGTCGGCGCAGTTCACTGCATGTAAAGTGGTTCACGCATGCATCACCGCATTTGCTAGCACAGTACACGCTCCCTGCTCCCAGCGCGGGTCTCGAACTCGGGACCTTGTGATTAGCAGGCAAGCCCACAACCACTCGGCCAAAGCGCTGGTCATAAGTACCTGAGTACCTGAAACAATGTACGTTCCGACCCCGGGTTTGGAAAGTCTACTTGATCCATGGGGCTCGCGATCACAGCCTCGTCACCTCAAATACAACCTAGTCCTGCAGTACCATGTGTGAGCATGCATAGATCGCCCCTACCCCAAGGAGCGACTGATACGGGCTATCCGGGGACACCCCCCCCCCCCCCCGCATTGTTTAGTGTTAGAGTTACCTGTGTTGTTTCCCTGTATGCTATGCCTCCCCTGTGTTGTCTCCCTGTATGCTATGCCTCCCCTGTCGTCCTACAGTAAAACCTGTCTGAGGGGACCGCTCAAGGGACCTTCAAAAATGTGGTCTCTGCTGCCAGGTGGTCTCCTTATCCAGGGTCATTTGACTGGAAATAGCATCCCTTGGTCCTGGTTACAGTGGTCTTCTGGGACAGGGGGTCGCCTTAACCGAGTGGTCGCCTTGACATGTATTACTGTATATAGTGTGGCTGACGTAACACGTACTGTAATTTACCGCTTACAAGTCGACCGTTTATGACCGAAAAAGCGGACTGAAAGGGCGTTGTACTGGGGGCGTGTGGGTTGCAGCGAGGGCTGCGCGCAACCAGCCTGCGTAGTGTCACGGGAAGCGTCGGTTTCGAAGTGTGTGCGTGTGTGTATGTGCATGTGTGGGTGGGTGGGTGTGGGTGTTTGTGTGCGTGCGCATGTGCGTGTGTGTGTGTGTGTTCACGTACGTGGGTGTGGGCGGGTGTGGTTTTGCCCGTGTTGTTCTGTCTAGAGGCAATGTGTCGTTGCGGTCAGACACCGCTGTTCATCTCGGCGGTAGGTGCTGACGAGTCTTCCGCCAGCCTGCTGCAACACATCGACTCATTTGTGGAGGACAACAGATGGGTATGTACACCTCTCTTCTCTACTTTGATTTACCGTGACCGTTTCTGTCCTGTGGTATTGTGATGTAAAAAAATCCCTTTAATGCTACATCACAACTTTTATAAAATGCTTTGCATGTTTTCATTTTTTCTGCGATGATGGTTACCGGCATTTTGATGCTCTTCTATTGTCTGCTCATTGTGTGTGTGTGTGTGTGTGTTGTGTGTGTGTTGTGTGTGTGCACACGTGTGTGTGTATGCATGTGTGTGTGTGTGTTTGTTTGTGTGTGTATGTGTGTGCACGTGTGTATGTGTGTGCACGTGTGTGTGCACAGTCAACGGTTGGAATACGTCCGTGTGCACAGCACTCCACTGCAACGTACATGGCCGTGCTGCAGCAGAATGGTGACTTGTTCACGGGTATTGGCAGCTTTGACGTCATGCAGAGAATTTCACCCAGCTGGGTAGGTGCTACTGAGTACTGTGTGCGACATTATGCACTGCTGGGAAGCAGCTGATGTGCTGCTTGTCTGAGAGAGACAGACAGACAGAGACAGAGATCGCTGGGGAACTGCTGGTGCATGGGGGATACCCAGGTGGCTGTTCTTACATGTACTTGAAAGCTGTGCGAATATCTTCTTCCAGGAACAGCCTAAATATGACCGTATGTCTGTGTTGCATTCCCAATTCATCACAACCACGCGCTCTTCAGCCGAACCATACAGACACCAGCAAGGACACTTCTTTTTTTTAAATATGGCCGAAAGCTCTGTCGCAATATTTAGTTCTGAAGTTTTAATGCGCCGTTAGTGGCAGAGCAGAGTGGACACGAAGAGTCGGTGAAGAAAGAAGGAGAGATGACAAGACGAGTCGGTGAAGAAGGAAGGAGAGAAGCAAGACACATCTGCAACATCTTTGATCAAACTGAGCTGAGCTGCTGATACGAAGCGTCGACCAAGCATCCCTGACTGGAGTGAATGCCCCAGCTGGCCTCTCGTTTGTCAGTGGTTGCTACTAGACCTGTTAGTATCACACTCACGACTACAAGTTTCCTGGTGTGCATCGACATTGGCATCAGTGGGGCCTCCCGCTGTCGATCCTGTTGACGGGCGGACAGGTCGGTGTGAATCCTGAACGGCAACCGAGCCTGTCGCGTTGGGGGATCTCGGCGGTGAGTCTCGCCTCGCCTGCATACATGGACATTGCAACATCAAAATAATAAACAACATACATGTACTTTCCATTGGCATCAGTATTCCGAGTAAGATTTTCGTCGCTTGTGTGGTGTGTTTCTCCACCAATGAGCGCGTACTATGATTATTTATCGCTGTTCTCACACTTTACCATTTTAGCAGCTTGCATATGCCATTGATATATGTGGAAAGTGCGCACTTGCGCCATTTCTGGTGTATAAGAATGATCATTCCTCCATTATCATCATTATCATCCTCTACTGATGAGCTACGACAGGGAGCGAAACAGCTGTCTAGAGGCGCGGAGCAATATTATCTCTCAACGGAAGTGTCCTTGCTGGTGTCTGTATGGTTCGGCTGAAGAGCGCGTGGTTGTGATGAGTTGGGAATGCAATGAATTGAAAATATGGCCGAAAGCTCTGTCGCAATATTTAGTTCTGTATGTCTGTGTTGTATAGTAATTTGTGTGATCATGCCATTTGTCAACACGTTGTGTATGGATTTTGCCACTCCATCCAAAGCATTTGCAATGATGCCATGCACATACCTCTGTGGAAACCTGCTAGATGTGCTCTGGCCTTGGGGATATTCCTAACACCACTGAAGTAAATGTTTTAAAAATGAGTAGAAAGTGAGTGTGCACCTTGCGCCAGTGCATAGCCTGATCAAAGTTCACAGCACAAGCTAGGGCTACATTGCGCCAACCAACTCACGAGGCCGAGTTTCATTTTGGCAACGCCGTGTGTTGCTGCTGCTGCTGTTGCTGCTGCTGCTGCTGCTGCTGCTGTTGTTGTTGCTGTTGTTGTTGTTGCTGTTGTTGTTGTTGTTGTTGTTGTTGTTGTTGTTGTTGTTGTTGTTGTTGTTGTGACTGCAGTTGGCAAGGTTTGATCAGCAAATCAGCACGGCTCCGATAGTTGTGATTGACTCGAACATGACGGAGGAAGCCATAGCGTGTGTGCTCACCAAGTGCAGAGCAGCCAATGTTCCCGGTAAGACATCATAATGGCCACGGGCATAGCTTGCACATCTGTTGTATGGTGACTTCTGTAAAACCGGAAAGTCCAACGAGTTGCAAAGTCTAGCGTTTTAAATTATTTGAAGAAACGTTATCGCGAACCCGGTTTGAGATGTCTGTGTAAAGATGCGCATATGCAGATGGGTGGTCAGGTAGCCATCGTTAAACTTTCTGCACGTTATCATGCCGAAATTACCAAAACGTTAAAACTTTTCCGTCGTTAAACTTTCCCGTTTTACAGTATGTGCCAGAGCACTTGTGTAGTGTGGTGACTATGTAGTAGTGTGGTGACTATGTAGTAGTGTGGTGACTATGTAGTAGTGTGGTGACTATGTAGTAGTGTGGTGACTATGTAGTAGTGTGGTGACTATGTAGTAGTGTGGTGACTATGTAGTAGTGTGGTGACTATGTAGTAGTGTGGTGACTATGTAGTAGTGTGGTGACTATGTAGTAGTGTGGTGACTATGTAGTAGTGTGGTGACTATGTAGTAGTGTGGTGACTATGTAGTAGTGTGGTGACTATGTAGTAGTGTGGTGACTATGTAGTAGTGTGGTGACTATGTAGTAGTGTGGTGACTATGTAGTAGTGTGGTGACTATGTAGTAGTGTGGTGACTATGTAGTAGTGTGGTGACTATGTAGTAGTGTGGTGACTATGTAGTAGTGTGGTGACTATGTAGTAGTGTGGTGACTATGTAGTAGTGTGGTGACTATGTAGTAGTGTGGTGACTATGTAGTAGTGTGGTGACTATGTAGTAGTGTGGTGACTATGTAGTAGTGTGGTGACTATGTAGTAGTGTGGTGACTATGTAGTAGTGTGGTGACTATGTAGTAGTGTGGTGACTATGTAGTAGTGTGGCGACTATGTAGTAGTGTGGCGACTATGTAGTAGTGTGGTGACTATGTAGTAGTGTGGCGACTATGTAGTAGTGTGGCGACTATGTAGTAGTGTGGCGACTATGTAGTAGTGTGGCGACTATGTAGTAGTGTGGCGACTATGTAGTAGTGTGGCGACTATGTAGTAGTGTGGCGACGGTGACTATGTAGTGGTGTGGTGACTATGTAGTGGTGTGGTGACTATGTAGTGGTGTGGTGACTATGTAGTGGTGTGGTGACTATGTAGTGGTGTGGTGACTATGTAGTGGTGTGGTGACTATGTAGTGGTGTGGTGACTATGTAGTGGTGTGGTGACTATGTAGTAGTGTGGTGACTATGTAGTAGTGTGGTGACTATGTAGTAGTGTGGTGACTATGTAGTAGTGTGGTGACTATGTAGTAGTGTGGTGACTATGTAGTAGTGTGGTGACTATGTAGTAGTGTGGTGACTATGTAGTAGTGTGGTGACTATGTAGTGGTGTGGTGACTATGTAGTGGTGTGGTGACTATGTAGTGGTGTGGTGACTATGTAGTGGTGTGGTGACTATGTAGTGGTGTGGTGACTATGTAGTGGTGTGGTGACTATGTAGTGGTGTGGTGACTATGTAGTAGTGTGGTGACTATGTAGTAGTGTGGTGACTATGTAGTAGTGTGGTGACTATGTAGTAGTGTGGTTACTATGTAGTAGTGTGGTGACTATGTAGTAGTGTGGCGACTATGTAGTAGTGTGGCGACTATGTAGTAGTGTGGTGACTAGTGTGGTGACTATGTAGTGGTGTGGTGAGTCTGGTGACTATGTAGTGGTGTGGTGACTATGTAGTGGTGTGGTGACTATGTAGTAGTGTGGTGACTATGTAGTAGTGTGGTGACTATGTAGTAGTGTGGTGACTATGTAGTAGTGTGGTGACTATGTAGTGGTGTGGTGACTATGTAGTGGTGTGGTGACTATGTAGTGGTGTGGTGACTATGTAGTAGTGTGGTGACTATGTAGTAGTGTGGTGACTATGTAGTAGTGTGGTGACTATGTAGTAGTGTGGTGACTATGTAGTAGTGTGGTGACTATGTAGTAGTGTGGTGACTATGTAGTAGTGTGGTGACTATGTAGTAGTGTGGCGACTATGTAGTAGTGTGGTGACTATGTAGTAGTGTGGTGACTATGTAGTAGTGTGGTGACTATGTAGTAGTGTGGTGACTATGTAGTAGTGTGGTGACTATGTAGTGGTGTGGTGACTATGTAGTAGTGTGGTGACTATGTAGTAGTGTGGTGACTATGTAGTAGTGTGGTGACTATGTAGTAGTGTGGTGACTATGTAGTAGTGTGGTGACTATGTAGTAGTGTGGTGACTATGTAGTGGTGTGGTGACTATGTAGTAGTGTGGTGACTATGTAGTAGTGTGGTGACTATGTAGTAGTGTGGTGACTATGTAGTAGTGTGGTGACTATGTAGTAGTGTGGTGACTATGTAGTAGTGTGGTGACTATGTAGTAGTGTGGTGACTATGTAGTAGTGTGGTGACTATGTAGTAGTGTGGTGACTATGTAGTAGTGTGGTGACTATGTAGTAGTGTGGTGACTATGTAGTGGTGTGGTGACTATGTAGTAGTGTGGTGACTATGTAGTAGTGTGGTGACTATGTAGTAGTGTGGTGACTATGTAGTAGTGTGGTGACTATGTAGTAGTGTGGTGACTATGTAGTAGTGCGTATGATGACCAATTGCTGGTGTGGTGGCTGGACTACGCTGACTACACACGAGCAAGGCGCATGCAGGCCCACCGGGACCGGGCACTGCCTGAAATTTTGAAATGTCCGTAGCTCTGAATCACGTACGCTTTGATGGTGGAAAGGCCGTCGATATGTCATAATAATAATAATGACATTACTAAGGGTGCGTTTGGTTGGTACGATCTAGAACAGGATCGAACAGCTGGTGCACACGGAGCAGCCTCATGCCAACCAAACGGTACTCCAGAAACAGAGCATATTTTTGTGAAAAATATGCCAAACTTGGTGCATTCTTCAAAATGTGTATGGGTCACCATGGTCACTGTGTACGGTACGACAAGTCAAACCCAAAAGCGTATGCACGTGATCATTTGGGACCAAAATGACCAAAATCGATGTTCCCGCCAGGTTTCACTGTGAAAAAGTGAAACTGCTCGGTCTGCTCCGGCCTCGAGGCCGGAGCAAGCAGAACATGTGAACAGGTGCAGTCCCAACCAAACGCGCTGTTCTGGTGAATCCTGTTCTAGTTCGCACCAACCAAACGCGCCCTCATTGTAGTTCTGAAAAAGAGTAGTAATATTTCAACAAAAAAACATCTTATGTGCAATGCTTTGGTTTTATTTCATGGGTGTATAATTGTGCGGCTGCTGAGCCAGCTGTGAGAGTGTATAGCCTACATGTGCTTGCTTCAGCTGAATGCGGCAAAGTGATTGTAAAGAGAAATTAATAGATCCCAATGTGATATGAGGCGCTCACACCGGAACGTACGGCAAGGTTAGGGTTAGGGTTAGGGTTAGGACTCGCCATAATCTGATGGTGTAAGGTGACAATTGGTAGAAATTTTCTGGGGTTGGTAGAAATTATTTGGGGTTGGCATATCAGAAAAATGTACCGGCAGACCCCTTATATCTAAAATTTTCTAAAAAAATCAAACTTACTAGTGGATAAGTGAAAAATAAGATCCCACCTTCCTGCCATAATTTGCTACTTTCCTGCCATAATATTTTGGCATGTCTTTATTTTTCATATACACACCCATTATGGGGTAGTACTTCAAGTAAGGGCCTGGTCAGACTGCGGCAAAATCGAAATAATCCTGGGATTATAATCCGAATCTCCATAGTAACTTGCCGCCAGAGCGGCAAAAGCGAGAGTTGACGCTCCAAAAAAAAAAGCAAGAACGGACCATGCTTTTCCGCTCCAAACAGGATTTGACGCTGATACGCCATTGACGCTGATAATCACTGATTTTTTCATCTCGATATCGAGGAGCTAATTGGCCACGGACAACAACAAAACTCATAAGGATGGTTGCAAGGATTGCACTGAAGGTGTTGGCGTCTTGGCGATCCCCAAGGTGAAGGAATTTGACGTCGTTCGTGGAGATTACCACTTGACGCTCGAAATGAAGTTTGAATTTTCACTCTCCCCACATGTGTAGTGTGATCGCGATTCAAATTCTGGACGCTGTTCTGTTTTCGTCAGGCAACCAAAATTTGCCGCAGTCTGACCAGGCCCTAAGCAAGTTGTATTGCCAATATATTATGGGTTATGAAGATTCATTGGTGTTATTGCTGGAAAAAGGCAATTTTGCTGTAATAATGCTTCTTAATTGCATTGTATTGCATATATGTGTAAGAAATACTTTACTTCTACAGTACATATAAGGAAAAGATGTTATGAGGGTTAGGGGAAAGATTATAAACAGATAAGGGAGCATCTCATAAGTTCGCACTTTTTTTGTAAACGTAACGCATTCGAATAGACTTTACCCCCCTACCTCCCCCCACTATTTGAAAGTCTTATCGCACATTTTCAGTGTACATCTACTGTACTGCACATGTCCATGCCATGGTATGTACAATCATGTACATGGACATGAATGTTTTGCTAGTGTCGAAGTGAATGGCATGCAGACTACAGTAGTGCCGCAACTACTGAGTACAAGTTAGTTAGTATTACTTTAATAGTTTAATTTAATACTTAGCTCAATCAATGACATGTACGCGCACAGAAACAGAGTTCCTCCACAACGACTGTACTGTAAAAGCTGGCCAGGTACACGGTTTGATCAGGCTGGTGTGTCATTTGACACCTCTGAGTAGCCTGCAGTAGTGCAAGGGTTAGATCTACACCTAAAACACACCCGGTACCCTGCTGTCTGAAGCGGTCTAGCACATGCACAGCACTGTATTGTTACATCCAGAAAATGTGCGAACTGTCATTTTTCTATCCGAAAAGGGCGCTACCCCCCTACCTCCCTTTCGGAATGCGTAACGTTTAGAGAAAAAATGCGAACTTATGAGATGCTCCCTAAGCGTTGTTATTCTCTTCTAACGGGAGAGCTTGGAAGCTCAGGGCCCTACGCTATGCTTTTTTGCCTTGATGACCTAGACAAAAAAAGCATTGGGATGTTATAAATCAACCTGGGATTCGAACCCGCACTATCGCGCGCCCTGCATGCATCCCCCGATACACTTCAGTAGTAAGTAACGAGCGGGTTCTGGCACAGGGGGCGCCCGGGTCCCAAAAAAGGGGTATTATTGAAAAATGGGGTACTAATAGTACCCCATTTTTGCGGGGAAAATTATTTTTGGCCCGGTTTTTTTGCGGATAAAAATATGTGTCAGGGTGCCCTGACCTCAAAAAAAAAGGGGTATTATTGAAAATATGTATTGGGGCGTTATGCTCTACCCTAAACAATAAGGTAATATGGTGTCATGATTTGGAATTCTGCATGTATCATTAATTTTGATTTTTAGGGGTGGGTGTTATGTCCTGCCCTACATCATAATATTGCATTCCGATGTCTAAAATATTACTATTTCTAATGTCAATGTTATCTCACTTTTTCCAATTTTATATTAACCCTTTATTGGCTGGCCTATACATTGATCGAACACCGATGTTCGATGGGGTAGTCATTTTGAAATTATCGTAACTTGGTCAAATCTCCGTCTTTCAGAGAGATCGAAATATGTAGGTCGAAGAGAAAACTCTCAGCTGTCGCCTCGAACAATTTTCAAAGCGATACAAAGAGCGGTTCTTGAGTTATAGCACTCGTATTGTTGGTCCCGGGAAATTTGCGCTCAGAGCGCGATGCGTGGGTCAACGGCCGGGATTTTCCCTGCTTACGTCACCTTATGACAAGACTACACCGGTTCAACTTCAAAAGCAGGTTCCCGGGGGTCTCTTCGAAAAATGTTGAGTTTGATACGAGCAACAGGAATGAAATGGTGGATAGAGATAGATCTCGAGCGTGGGCCCAGCGCTGGTGGGCCTTCCCTGGCTTGCAGCGCTGGGCCAGTGCATCCCATGGAGTCGAGTGTGCGCTCATTGCGCTCCTCTCGCCAAGGCCTTTCCAGGATGCCCAAGATCGTGGAATTTGTCCAATGCAAACTAAAGTTACGTCCAATTTAGGTACAGGTTTGGCGATTGCGTGGGCTTGTTTGTATTTTAATCGGCCAATAAAGGGTTAATCAGAACTCATAGTTTTGCAGTATTTTGACTTGTAATTTCATTTTTTCGGATCATTTTCCGACATCGAGACACACACACACACACACAAAGAGAGAGAGAGAGAGAGAGAGAGAGAGAGAGAGAGAGAGAGAGAGAGAGAGAGAGAGAGAGAGAGAGAGAGAGAGAGAGAGAGAGAGAGAGAGAGAGAGAGAGAGAGAGAGAGAGAGAGAGTTTAGTCATGAAAGATATCTACAGACGGTACGACCCACGAGCGCTTTCTCGAAACTTCGATTACAGGGGCTGACGCAGATGCCTGGATCGTGACGAGCGATTCACCCAGATCTTCTTCGTCACGGACAATGCTGTCAACTGCCTTCCGCTTCCGGCTTTCTATACTGTCACACACGACTTCGGGCATCTTAGTGTGATGACCTTGCTCGTCAATATCAATTGTACCAACACGTACAACAATGCGGGTAATCCTCGTCGCGAGGACCGACAGCCGAACAGCTTTCGTTGTAAACTTGTTCATATCACGGTCTTGTCGAAAGATGTCCCTCTCGTTCAGATCTTTTATTAACCTGATGAATTCCTCGGCTTCAATCTTCTCCGCATCTTGGAACGTCTCCTCGACGTTGTCGAGGGCACCTTCAGCCTTGGAGAGGTTAAACATCGATCTACGCCCATCGTCCCAGCATCGCAGCAGTCTGCCTGTATCCCGCCATGATGAGGATCCATAGTCCTCTACGCCGTCAACGATGATCTTTGGGAGACGCTGGTGTTTCTCACCGCTAATCAACACCATAAAAGAAACCCTGCACAGATACTCCGCAATCTCCATGGGAGTTAAGTCGACCCGATCCGGGTGAAGCAGCACGGGTCTTAGCTCGTAGGCTGTGCCCAGATCGGTGAGTAAGCGAACGGTTAATTCATCTTTAGTACAAGAAAATAGGTACCACCTTTCAATATATTGTTGGGATGTTGACCAAGACATCTTCTTTTGCTATCACTATAGACAGGGAGAGAGAGTTAGCAATTGTGACGCATAATGCAATATCATCAGGCTTTATAGGGTAAGATCAAAATTAATGGCGCGCCACGGCGCGCCCTCAGAATAGAGTCTAACCGATAATGCTTTGCAGCGCTGTCTCCTGAGAGTGCGACATCTGGTGTGTCACCACTGCCGCTACCTCATCTTGAGTGAGCTGCGTTGAGCAAGCAGATGCAGTCATCACTCGGTCCAACGTAGCACTCTCTGGGATGTTGATTCCCGTCGCTTTGCGCACACTATTGAACACCTGCTTCAGGTGATTGCCCCCCCCCCCCCCCCCCCGAATCCTTGTAATGTGTGTGTGTGTGTGGAACACTGACAGACGGCGGGTGTCGGTTGCCTTGACAGCCCATGACTCACAGCCATAAAGTAACGTTGAGAGGACGACTGCAGAGTAAACATGAGCCTTGGTACGCACAGAGATGTGGCGGTTTCCGAAGACAGCAGAACGCAAGGCACCAAAAGACCGGGAGGCCTTGGCAAGACGGGAAGAAACCTCAACCGACAACTGGCCATCATTAGTAATACAGCTACCGAGGTATGTGATGTCGGAGCGGGCTGGTTTGCGATCAGTGGTGGAGATGCTGAGGACGCGCCGTCTTCGCTGGTTGGGGCATGTCGGACGACAGAATACCGAAGTGCGTATTGTTTGGTGAGCTCCAGAAGACGCGCCCTCGCCACGGGCCACGCAAGCATTGGCGTGACAACATCGTGATTGACCTAGAGGAACGCCACATCAATGACTGGTACAGCCCAGCCGAGGACCGTCGTGCGTGGAGACTGGCCTGCAACACCATCCAGCCGCCTAAACCTATGTCTCGAGATTTCAGGTGCCACTGCGGCCGAGATTTTCGCCGTCGCCAGGACCTCACTCGCCACTCGAAGTTCTGTGCCGCGTGACTGAAACACTGTCGGTCCTTTCAGGACCTGCCATCATCTTCGGATGGGCAATATTGTAATTATTGTATTGTGTGTGTGTGTGTGTGTGTGTGTGTGTGTGTGTGTGTGTGTGTGTGTGCATGTGTGTGTGTGTGTGTGTGTGTGTGTGTGTGTGTGTGTGTGTGTGTGTGCATGTGTGTGTGTGTGTGTGTGTGTGCGTGTGTGTGTGTGCGCGTGTGTGTGTGTGCGTGTCTGTGTGCGTGTCTGTGTGTGCGTGTCTGTGCGTGCGTGTATGCGTGTGTGTGTGTGCGTGTGCGTGTGTACGTGTGCATATGTATCTGTATTCTCCAGTGTGGTTTGAGCCTACTTGCACGGCCAAGGCAGCCAAAATCTACGGTACTGATGTGTATGGGTCAGTGACGATAGCCTCGCCTAATTTGGCAGAACTGCAGTCAATGGCTCGTGCTTGCGTGGAAGCGACGGGACTATCGGTAGACAGAGAGACCAGTGTTGCCCTTGCTGTGGATGGTGAGTGTGAAGAGAGACAGAAAGACAGAGAGACATATCTCTTAAACTGTCACCAGCAAATCCTATATATAGGATTTGGTTTCAGGCTAAAGGATTTCGCTTAACTATCTATGCAAATTGATGGAATGGGTTTCATGAGGTGTTTGGAACTGTTTTCCATACACTTTCGTAGGGATAATCAAAATGTCAAGCCACTCGGCCAATGTTCGGGGTGAAGCTTCCGCTGTAGTACCCAGTTCAAAGCACTAGATATGCCAACCTGTGGCAGTGCTCCCCAATCAATCACAGACATCTATGCATGGTATCTGTGTACTTATTCAGCATACTAAGCATTCTATCATCATCTGCATCCATTACAACACTCTGGATAATGGAGAACACTCAAATCCTATATACATAATTATAGGATCCGACAAAAAACTGACTCGTCCTCTCTAAAACGGCCCTGTAAGTCAAGTGATAATACTGGCACTCTTGAAAGCTTCTGAAGAGAGCCTACTGATACTGTCCTAACACGTTACAATACAATTTAGGCACACAACGTATCCCGGGCAGAAGCATGGTCAAGATTATTGGTAATTTTTCAAAAAATCCTATATATATATAGGATTTGACAGTTTTTTTTAAAGAGATAGACAAACACACAT